GTTTAGTTGTTACGTAAATAAATGTTGTTTTGTTACTTTAACCCCGAGAACATGCATCCTCAATTGTTACCTGTTGTGTGCCTCTAATCCAGCAAGCATTACACACACACGTAAGTAGGAACAGAGGACCGGAGATAACTCCCGCTTTATTTCTCTCTTCTTCACTTCTCTTTTTTTTACCACAACAACCACAACGTACTTACTAGCGCCCTCTAGCGCTTCTAGTAAATGCATCTACAGAACACATGCAACAGTATGTGGACACAACATCTTCCCCTTTTGAACAAGGATTCCTTATGTGAACTAAGCCTCATCATTCTGATGTAGGTCACCTAATACACGTTAACATTTCACATTACTCAGTACACTCACTTCCCCATAACAAAGTCCTGGGTCCAGCAAGGTGGCTTTCTCATCCTGATGGGCCTAAGCCTACTATCAGACTCAGAGTTAGATGCCAGATCAGTTCCTGGTTTATGACAGTCCATTTTTGTGTCAGCATCAGTACCTGTGTTCAGCCCTGACAGAGCCGATAAGTGTGAGGCGTTCCAGGTCCGTCCATCATCCAGCAGATAAGTATTTGGTCCTTTCCTGGTCACGACAGTCTTTGGTTTAGAAAACTTTAACTCTCCTTTCTTTACCTTCCATGGCTTCCTAACCCGTACCTTGTCACCAGCCTGAAAGTTGGATGATTTTGCGAGTCTGCGAGCATCAGTGTATTCCTTCATTTTCAATTGCTTATCTTTAACTCTTTCGCACATGGTATGCCTCTCTGTCTGAGGAACAGGCATATCTATTACCTGTAACTTTGTTCTCATTCGGCGTCCATGGAGCAGTTCTGAAGGGGAGACTCCAGTTGTAGAATGAGGGGTTGCTCTGTAGTCCATCAGGTAAGTTCTCAGGAACGATTTCCAGGGTTGACCTTGAATCGAGGCAGTCTGTAGGCAGTCTTTAACGCACCTATTGAATCTCTCCACTTCCCCATTAGCTCTTGGGTAATACACTGAGGACCTCAGGTGTTGGATCCCCCTGCTTTTGAGGAAGTCAGCGAACTCAGCAGAGATGAATTGAGAGCCATTGTCACTTATCAATGTCTTTGGATTCCCTTCACGAGAGAAAACTACGGAAAGGAACTGAATGACAGTACCTGCATCAGCTCGGGGAGCAAAAGCTACTTCAGGCCACTTACTAAAATAGTCTACCAATGTAATGGCAAATCTACAGTCAGAAGGGGCTATTTCAAAAGGGCCTATGATGTCCACAGACACCTTTTCCCAAGCAGCAGCCGGTAAAGGAATGGGTTGAAGTGGAGCATCATGGGTGACGGCGGACTTGTCGTTCTGTCGGCACGTTGCACAATTCCTTATCAGTGTCTCTATGTGACAATCCATTTTGGGCCACCAGTACAATTCCCTCAGGCGTTGTTTAGTACGTACAATACCTTGGTGAGATTCATGAGCTATGTCAGTGAGTTTTTTCTGCAACGACTCAGGCACCAGCAATCGATGTGTACCTCTGACAATGCACTCGTTAAGGACCGCGAGTTCATGGCGGATTGGGAAGTAAGGCTGTAAGTCAGGTTCCAGTGATGTCTTTCTAGCAGGCCAGCCCTTCTGTATCTGCACCCGGAGCTTTGTGAACACTGGGCAAGTTTTGCACTCTGACTGGAAGTCTTCCCCAGACACAGCGCTCAGATCAGTGAGGATGGCTGCAACTGACTCCACACTCTCTGCACATGCCATGTCCGTCTCGGGAAGTGGAAGCCTAGAAAGACAGTCAGCAACATGGTTCAATGATCCAGTTCTATATTCCACTTCATAGTCAAACTCCAACAGGCGAGCTGACCATCTGGCTATGCGTAGACCTGCTCTGTTATTGCCCTTTGTAGTCAGCAGTGTTGTAAGTGCTTGGTGATCTGTTCGTAGGAGGAATTTTCTGCCCCAGAGCCATGTACGCCATTTTTCCGCAGCCCAGACGCAAGCTAGGGCTTCCTTTTCAACGACTGAGTATTTCCTCTCTGCATCAGACAAGCTGCGAGATGCAAATGCAACAGTTTGTTCTGCATCATTACCGTCAAGTTGAGTCAAAACAGCACCTACACCGTAGTCTGAGGCATCTGTCGAGACTATGGTTGGCTTACTGGGATCAAACATTACCAGAGCAGGGCTGTGCACGATTAACTGCTTGACTTGATCAAATGCTGCTTGAGCTGCCTTGTTCCAGTGGAATGAACAGTCCTTACGCAGAAGAGCTCTCATAGGTTCGACAACAGTCGCATAATTTGGTACGAACTTGCTGTACCATGCACTCAAGCCAAGAAACGAGCGCAGGGTTGCCGGATCAGTAGGGGGCGGAGCATGCAGGATAGCAGTGACATGAGAGTCATCTGGCAGCAGACCTTCTGGACCGATCTTTTGACCCAGAAAGCTCAGAGTAGTTTGACGGAGTTGACATTTGTCAACATTGAGTTTCAGTCCTGCCTTGTTGATTCTGTGTAACACAGCACGCAGGTTGGCTTCATGTTCAGCTTCTGAAATTCCGTATATGATGACATCATCAAGATAGCATTGCACCCCTTTCTGGCCATATAGGATTTGCGTCATCATCTTTTGGAATGCTGCCGGTGCTGAACTCAACCCGTAGGGGACTCTGCAGTACTGGTACAGTCCTTCATGTGTAATGAAAGCAGTGAGCCCTCTACTGTCTTCGTGTAGTTTCAGCTGATGGTAGGCGGATTTAAGATCCAGGGTAGAGAACATAACAGCCCCACGCAGCTCAGACAGTATTTCCTCTATCAGTGGCAAGGGATGGCTGTCAACGACCACCGCTTTGTTAGGTTCTCTCAAATCAACGCACATGCGTATGTCACCAGTTTTCCTTCTAGTGACTACAATCGGGGAGACCCATTCAGATGCATCGATTTTCTCTATAACACCATGTTCCTCCAGATTCTTGAGTTCTGCGGAAACAGCATCCCGGACTGACAGGGGTAAGCGTCGGAGTTTCTGCTGTATTGGCTTCACTTCAGGTCGCACCTTCACTTTATGTACAAAGTCCTTTGCACATCCGAATGCAACTGTAGACTCACACTCCTGTTTGCAGTGAGTGGGCAGAGCAGAGGTTTGTTGAAGTGTAGCGCATACCTCGGAACTCTCAAGGACTAATCGTCCCCCTTTTATGTGTAGCTGGAGGGCCGTCACCAAGTCCATGCCCAGTATGGGTGTTCCTGTTCTCACAATGTAGAGGTCTGTGGGGGCACTCTTGCCATTGTAGGTAATGTCAGCTCTAAGACACCCTAATACATCCAGTTTCTCCTTTGAATATGTAATAAGCTGAACAGCTGGGTTACTTAACTTAACTGAGCCAAAATAGGTGCTGTAAACATGTTCAGGAAGTATGGAAACACCAGAACCCGTGTCTACTAGTAGCTTAACAGTACATGCCTGTGCAGTATTTGGTACTGTGACAACAACAGTGCACATCAATTTAGCTGGGTCACTACTGGCACAATTGTCAACAGTTAGAACACACATTTCAGGCACAGTCACTTCATTAACAGGCTTATGAGGAGATTTACACACTCTAGAAAAATGTCCGATTTTCCCACATGTATTACATTTGCAGTCTTTTGCGGGGCAAGATTTATCATTGGCTTTGTGATCCGCTGAGCCACAACGGTAGCACGTCGGAGCTGTATCCGTTTTTTTAGCTGCTTTGTATTTTGGTTTGCGCATCTTCTTTTGTACTTGAACAGCGGCAACAGGCTTTGTTTCACCAACAGCAATGGCCTTTGCATCAGCTATTGCAGCCTCGGTGCGCCTAGCAATTTCCAAAGCTCGATCGAGCGTCAAATCCTCCTCCATTAGCAGTCTTTCACGTATACGAGCATTATTAGTCTTCTCTACAAGCTGATCCCGCAACATTTCATTCTCCATAGCCCCGAATGCACATTGTTTCACGAGCTCACGCAGTGCTGCAACGTAATGATCTGTAGACTCACCTACAGCTTGGGCTCGTTGCCTGAAACGGTATCTCTCGGCGACAACATTGACTTTAGGATGAAAGTATGTTTCCAAAGCCTTTACGGAGCCCTCGTAATCATCCGTAGCGAGTGGTAAGGCGCTGTAGATTCGTTGTCCCTCCGTTCCCAAGCAGTGAATGAGCAGGGCCCTTTTCCTCTCCGTAGCAAAGTCATCACCCCCGATAGCAAGCAAGTAGTTGTCGAACAACCTTTTCCATGCAGCAAATGGAATTTTCGGTTCGCCCGGACAGTCCAGGAACACAGCCGGGGGTTGCAAAGAGAGCAGAGCCATAACTGAATCACCACTATTCTCGTCGCCACTTGTTGTGTGCCTCTAATCCAGCAAGCATTACACACACACGTAAGTAGGAACAGAGGACCGGAGATAACTCCCGCTTTATTTCTCTCTTCTTCACTTCTCTTTTTTTTACCACAACAACCACAACGTACTTACTAGCGCCCTCTAGCGCTTCTAGTAAATGCATCTACAGAACACATGCAACAGTATGTGGACACAACATTACCCCAGGCCCCCTAGACAGCCTGGATCATAACACTAACATTCACTTAAACAGTTTATTTACCTGCTGGAGCAAATTAAGACGATGATAACTCACAGATTGTGGTCAGTGTCATCATCACCCAGTCAGCCATCACATTTAGTGAAGTGAAACCAAACTTTAGAGGCTTCCTCTGTACCTATTTGGAAGTTAGAATTTCTGTATACCGAGGGAAAAGCAAACGCACCAGTAGCTGAGCAATGGAAGCTGAGATATCAAGGTAACGTTATCTTTAACAGTTTATTTACCTGCTGGAGACGATTCAGATGATAACTTACTTAGATCGTTGTCAATGTTCTCAACATCACCCAGTCAGCCATCGCATTTAGTGGAAGGTGTTTTTTGTGTAAATATAAACAGTTATTTGCTTTAACATTTTTTCCATCTGTTTCACTCATCAAAATTGAAATGACATTTTCTATAGGAATTCTTTTTATTTATTTATTTATTTTACAGTTTCCTTTCTGGTTGTGAAGCTTTCAGAATTGATGTCTGAATGCTGAAGGCAGTTCTTCTCTCACAGGTGGCATCAACACCACACATGACACCAAATCATTATTAGAAATATTTTCAGTGGTTTTAAATTGCAACAGACACGGAGACAGGAGTGAAAGAGAAAGGTGGAGAAAAAATAAGAGGTGGGGGTAAAAAAAACAGACTAATAGCTGATTAACAAAAATGTGCTTTTTTACCTGCAGAAATCAAGAGAAAAGGGGATACACAAAATTACATCAAAACCAAAATGTCACTGCACCCACAACATGAGGATATACAACAGTAACAATTTTTACTGAAAAGCACATGGTAAAAATTCATAGTACAATTAGTGCCAAGCACAGCCTTTGGTCATGTGTTTAAAATTCCCAAGTCCACACTACTGTAAGAGCACCATGTGAGCACTAGTGTGCATACATGTGCTTGTAAGGTTTCTCTATAGGAGTGTACAATAGTGAGTGTGAGGGGCCACAGACCTTCCCCCAAGGACGTATGGACGCTGGAGGGGTTCCAAGCCTCAGAGAATTTATTAAAATTCAAATATAATTTATTTTTGCAATTCACTTAACAACCAAACACATTTCTTTCTTTTTTTTTCTTTTTTTGTTTAATGCTTGTATTTTTTTTTATTGCAGACTGTTTGTGATTTTTGTCTTTTTATTTACATATGGCAGTTGATTATTTATATTATGATTTCAACTTCAGATATTTGCATTTTGAAAACATGACACACATTCGACAATATTAAAGTTACATGTACATAAAGTACAGTTTCTTGTTCTGAAGTTAAGCCAAAAAATCCCATTCAAATTATATTGACTTAAAAAAAAGAAATACTGGTATATATTTTACTTCACATTGAATACCTTCCAAAAATATAAGTTATAAAATAAGAAGGAAGGAAACTTCCACTTTCTCATCTGAGAAAAGGATAAAACCAGACAGCATGACTCCAATGTATTCAAGGGGCTTGGGTGTTCTATAGATGTAGTCCAGAACAGGTGGTTCTGATGCCTCAGGCTTCCCTCTGCAATGACCAAAGAACAAAGCATTATTGAAATTTAACAGAGTAAGACGTTTTGTTTCCATTAACATTTTAGAAGTCCTCTAACAGGAAGTTCTCTGCAGAAGCAAAATTAATCACGTTGTTGGAATTACAATTACAATGAATACAAAATTTAAAAAGGGGATACTTTCTAAAACTGAAAGTAGTGATGATGTTGGAAAAGCTTTGTACAGATAAAAAAAAGCATTCTGTGAACTTAAAGAAATAATCTCACTCGTATTTTCATTCTAAATTAAAGGGTCTAGCAGGGATTACAAGTTGCCAGCTGTCTTTGCAGCTAAAGTTTTAAAGTTATATCAATTAACATTGAAAAAGAATTGACATATTGCAATTTTGGTCAAATCTTGAAAAAATATTGTGCAATCTCAGATCATTTGAGTCATCAGTGAATATGCTGCCACCACATCAACAGCTCAACATTTGTCAAACTGCACTTTGTGATTTTACCTGAGATTTTATTGAGACGCAATAAATATAAATAAAAATCTTATTTTTGGTCTTTTTCAACCCTCTTACAGCCACAGTTGGTGTTGTTTAGCTGTGCCTTTTTAAATACAAATAAAACCAAAGTTAGGTAATCATAGTAGTAGTTACATCTGATGATTATCTTCTGAGAGTTTTGTTCAAATTAATCCAATTCCATGGTTCATGAGCTATTTTGCTAACAGGGTTTCCTCTGAATGCTAATGGAAAAGTTTAGACATTTCTTTGCATAGTCTGTAACCACTGAAAGTATAAAAAGTGGAGGACACTTGGCTGCAACAACTCCAAATCTAAGCTCAGTTTATAGTAAATTGACTGAGCTTTAGAGCATTCTGTTTGCTAGGGTGGATAACCTTTTGTTGACTATTTAGACTATAATTGGTGTACATCTAGTAGACATTTTGAGCAGCTGATGATAATAATCTTACTGCCGTTTCTGACACTTACACGTCCACATGCGGATACACGTCCCACAAAAGGCAACAACGCTGGAGATCTGAAGACACCTGCCACACTCTGGACTCATCAGGCAGTCCCTGGTTTTCAAGCAGCACTTGGGACATTTGTTTTTGGAGCGATTAGGTTGTTTTTCTTCTTGTTTTGTGGGCTGAGTTGTTCTTGTGTCATTGTGCTTTTCATCCCACTCCTCACTCTTGCCTTTGCCCATGATGTGGATTTAGTTTGAAAAAGTAAAATTTAATAATATAGAGTCAGGATAAATGATTGCAATCTGTGGGAGTAAAGGGAAGAAAAATGGTCAAAGTTCCAGTTTATTTATAAAATACTTTATACAGGACAAAAGAGCCCACCAACATTCAGTACGTAGAGCAAATGCAACAAGACAACAGTAACAACACCTACCTAGAAAAAGATAGAATGGAGAAATAAAACAGCAGTAAAACAAAGTTCAACAGAGAAAAAATATAAATTCTTAAAGAAACCATAATCCCTCTGACATTGGAAATGGGTTAAAATTAGTTAAAAGGCAAGCTAAATAAATGAGTCTTGAGACAAAGTGCTTAGTGACTGAGACTGTTTGACAGAGAGGGGAAGATCATTCTAAAGCTTAAGACCATAAACCATGAGTTGTGACTTAGGAACGCAGAGAAGCGAGTGAGCAGAAGACCTAAGAGCACGAGAAGAAAATGCACCTACAGGAAATGGGATTATTATTATTATTTTAGGAATGTTTGAAACTAGCCAGGCAACAATCTTTGTAAGCACAAAAAAGATAATGTAGACAGTCCGATTCATCTCTACAGTAACTCACATTACCAGACAGGCCTAACCCTGCACTCTGTTTACTACTTGGATTATGGAAATAAACTTTTAGTTTCATCACAGAATCCTAATCATCCCCAGGAGACAATCGTTAACGTTCCAATCTAATCCTCAATCCTTTTTATGAACACTTCATTGAGTGAAGTCACATTGATTTGACACATTAACAATCCTTCCACACCGATGATCATCGCTTCCGCCAGAAGTTGAGGCCTTCTGTTTTAACTGTCAGATACAATTGGTCTCCACAGACATTATCAGATAATACACGATAACCTTGATGGTGGAATAACAACTTAGCCATGCCATCTGGGTGGCTCTTCATTTATTAACACTGACAGTAAATTAGATTGCTGGCATCTGGAGGGTATCCTGGCATTTGGAATGCACCTTTCTGCTTTCAAAACTTCACTGGTTTTCAATCATAAGTAATGAAATTCCATAACCCCTCCCTAGCCATGAAAGCAACTTGGAAAGGAAGCAAAAGAACACCATTAAGAGAAGTGAAAAAGAGTAATGGTCTTACCCTTTGCTTTCAGAGTTGCCTCTTGTCAGTTTGAATATCCCTTTTTGGAAGAGACGACCTGGCTGGAACAGACACTTTCACTTGCAGAGGTCCTTGCTGTTATGAACAACAAAGTCTCAGTGTTGGTCACGGCTTGCTCATACAGCGGGTGTGTTAACAGGTTTAACAAGTTTGTCCAAATTCTCTCCCCGAAAGCATTATTTCTGTTTCAGCACACAACGTAATTTGCATGGCATCTAACATGATAACATAAAGGTGTGGGTTTGTGTTTAGTTCAGTTTCAAGTATTTAATATTTCATCTGGTTTCTGAATCTGTTTCTCGTGAGGCTCCTATTACATAAACCACTTAAAGATACCATGGATTTATAGAAGCGGCTAACAGTGGAGATTAGGTTTATTAATTTATCCTTTGATCTCCTATCCTGAAACTTTCACAGAGCAATATGGGTTACCATGTTGACGGAGTCGGCTGAGGACTTAATAGCTTTTGTAAGAACAAAATTCTAGAACTGGACCTGACCTCTCCCTGCTGATAATTCTAATTTATTAAGCATATTTTTTCTCATTTATTCCTAAATCCTGCTCCACACATTATAATATAGTTTCTTAATGTTGTCATAAACTCAGCCAGTAACTCTTTCCTTCTGATTATGTATATCCTCAGGTTTGAGGTCTCCATTTGCTGACGACTTTAGTTTTTTGGTTATTTTGTCTTGCAGAAATAAGGGTTATATATTGTACTCATACTGTTAGGTCATCTCTGTTTTTGTTGTTTGTTTTATTACCCCCTGCATTGTATGGTTAGTTGTATTTAAGTCCACACCAATGACTCATGACAACTCTAGAGACTGGAACATTTTCTAATATTCATTTAGGCATCTTGTGTCCATTTAGGACTAAAAGACAACACAATTATTGAGATGTGCCTCTCAAGTCAGTTTTGTGAGCTGTTACATTGCAGCTTCTCAGATTTCAATAAAATGTGTTTTTCAAATTTCTGCTTGACGTTTTATCTTTACAGGTTCTGTGATCAATGTCCTAAACGTGCTTACTACTAGCCTAGAATCATCTCCAGAAATCCAAAGAGATTCAAATGAAAGCAACTAGACTTCTACGGTTTGTCAAAGGCATTTTGCTTCTCATCCAAGGAGCTTTGTCAATTCTGACTGGAATATGGGAGCTTCAAGTCTTTAAGTCCAATTGCTTTCATTCGAACCCCTTTGGATTAATGACCAGGATGGCTGTGAACCTTCACCAGCATCTCCAGAAAGAACTACAGTCTGATTCCTATAAATAAATTTAACATGTGAGTGAACATTTTCAAAAAAAAAAAAGAAAAAAAAAAAGAAAGAAATGGCAGTAAACTCCTGCTTTTTTTCCTTAATCATAGGTTTTTAATGACTTATTTTACATTTGTGTTTATTCTGTTGTCTAGGGCATGGTAATCTTGAAGGTTTAGCTGGAAACAACAGGGTTTATCTAGTTTTTCTTGAAGACGTTTTGCCTCTCATTCAAGAAGCTTCTGAAACTTGGGTTAGGAGTAGGAGGTTTCTAAGGTGTGGTCTAAAACAAACTTGCTGATAGGGCTGTGTGAGTCGCTGGTGGGGCTGTTATTAATAATAAGGCCATCAAGGTCCTATGACTACTTGGCTCTTCTGTGTTTCTTGATACTTCTGTGTCGGAGAAACAAAACAACAGTTACACAAAAGGATAGCACAACACAGAAGAAACAATGCTTCAGGTGTAGACTCCGCAGTCCATCTACACCTCAAAATGATGGATGGTTTGAGAGAGTGGTGAAAGAAGTCATCAAAGTGAAACATAAAAAACAAACGTTGAGCTAAGAGGGTGGCCCTGGTTTCATCTTTCCAGTACCATTAATGCAGTCTTGATTTGTCTCCCCTGTCAGTTCAATGAAACTCACCTTGAGACATGTGACAAAAACAGTGAACAGGTGGGCTTTGTTGGAGACCTGTTGGGAACTTTAACTACGGTACACAATAAGGGAGCTGAATAGAGGGGGGAGGGGGGGGGTGGGTGGGGGGTGGGGGGGGGTGGGGGGGGGGGGGGGGGGGCTAGGGACTTATGTGACCTTAATGGCCTTCTTAGTAATAACAATAACCTCACCAGCAACTCCCATATCAGCATGTTTGTTCAGACCACATCTTATAAAGCTTCTGCCAACCCAAGTTTCAGAAGAGCCTTCTGGGCTGAGGCAGTGTCTTCAAGGGAAAAAAAAAGACAAGTCCAGTTGTTTTCACATAAACCTTCCAGATTTTACACATTTTCAACACTGCTCTTTATTATGAACTTGTGCTGGTGTTTTGTTTGAACATGTCTTGTTTGCAACTTTTTATGTGTGGTTGGGAAAAGTCTCTTCAAAATGAGAATGTTTCTCAGTGGGATTTAGTATAAATAAAGGTAAAAAAAACAACAACACTCAAAATCCCGAGTATGTTCTTTTATTCAAGATAAGTAAATACTGGATAATTGTGTTATTTGTGGTTGAACAAAGGTTGATAGTTTTTCTGTCAAAAAATCCTACTTTTTTAATCGTGTGCCTTTTATAAAAGCAGCTTTACTTGCTCTAACATTTTTTCCTGACACATTATTATGACATTCAAGCCAACATAGTAAATATGTTGCTCTGACAGCCAGTATCTTTTCATTTGTCATTCCTGAAGAGACAAATACTTATGATACAAGTTAACCTCTTACACAAATCCAAGACAGCAAGTAGTCCTGTACAATCCCAGTCCAAGACAAGCTGGTTAGATGGTTGTCTACGGTTACAGTGGAGCATAATTAGTTGTCATATAAGTCCAATCATTTTACCTGTCAAAAAAAAAAACCCTGTTAATTTTTACTGGAAGATTTCTATATTATCAAGAAGAAATTTTGTATAAATAAAAGCAATGATGTCAGTGATTATCACACAATCCATTATCCATTCTGCTCAGTTGAAGAAAAAAAACTTTGCTGAGGCTTCCTCTGAAAAAACAATCATGATTTACAGTAATATCTAAATTAACATCACAGTGATGTAATAGATGAACAATGATGAATCAAAGAAAAATAGACACTTGAAATAATAAAATACTTAATAAATCATAAATCATATGTAAATGCTGTTAAAAACTTGGATTAAGTGTTTAAAAATTATATATATATATATATATATATATATATATATATATATATATATATATGTGTGTGTGTGTGTGTGTGTGTGTGTGTGTGTGTGTGTGTGTGTGTGTGTGTGTGTGTGTATAGCTATATGTGTGTGTAGACACACACACACACACACATATATATATATATATATATATACACATATATATATGTGTGTGTGTGTGTGTGTGTGTGTGTGTGTGTGTGTGTGTGTGTGTGTGTGTGTGTCTACACACACATATAGCTATACACACACACACACACACACACACACACACACACACACACACACACACACTTTGATTGAGGAACATTATTTATGTCCTCATTTGTTGCGCTTGTTGTCAGCACATGTTGCTATAAATTATGATGATGATAGTGATACAATAATAATTAATACTATTACAAAATGCCCAGTCTGATAAGCTATAACTTTTCTACTGCATGACTTTTGCTTTAATTTCCAGACTGAGAATGTCAAAGCTGCCGTTTACTGCTGGTGAAATACTGACTACTGAAAACAGCTCAACAAAACGCCACTTCAAAATTATATAAAATAATAATAATTTATGAAAAATATCTTTACTACATGAACTTTGTAAATATAAACTCAGACAGGAAAAAGTGATGTTTTACTGCCTTTAGAGTAAGAGAACTTTAAAAGCTAATGATTAACCAGAGCCATCAAGATAACATTCCTCTCCTCTCTGTGTGGTCCTTAGTGTAGCTGCAGAACATAGTGTGGCATTTGCATTTTCACTTCCTCAACTTTTCCTTTTGTCTGTTGCTGCTCTGGTACCCAAGCCGGCAATATCTTCCACTATCTGGCAGAAACAAGACAAGCTGTCCATCTCAGCCAATCACAAGCTCATACAGCCATCACAATCCCACACTGCACAATGCCAGCTGTTATTGGACAAGCGTTCATTGCATATTGTTTTGGCATTGCTCACACTTCCAAAAGCTGCCAAATTCACGAGGCTGTCTTAAAATGAATTTGCATACTTAAGAGAAAGATTCCCAACTCATTGTCTGGGTTTTCTTTTTCTTGTGCTCCATTTAATAAGGGCGGTAAGGCTTTGTAACTGTTACTTGTGATTGCATTTACACTTTTTTTCAAAACTTTTTAGCACGGCGCAAGTGTTTACAAGCAGTGCTCATGTTTTCAGCTCTGAAACAGAACTGCTTTCCAATTTCCAAGTCTGTGCAGAATATTTAGGTTTCAGATCGCAGTCATTTTAAAACAGGAAGTAGAAGTCATGTGGACATTTTTTAACATTTTAAAATTTCCGTTTATGTTCAAATACAGCTCCCAATATTATTTGGTAGCCCTAAAGCAACCAAGAAACACTGTACAATGTTTCATATTATGCTCTCATTTAGAATTCTTAGAAATCAGGGGCAACAGTGAAAGAGGAGTTAAGTGGTCGCCCCATAATTGGAATGTTGCAGGTTCGATTCCTGCTCAGTCTGTCGCTGTTGTTGTGTCCTTAGGCAAGACACTTCACCCTCTTTGCCTCCTGGTGACCGTCAGAGGGACCCGTTGCACCAGTGTTTGGCAACCTCTCTTCTGTCAGTGCGTCCCACGGCAGCTGTGGCTACAGTGTAGCTCACCACTACCAGTGTGTGAATGTGTGTGTGCGTGGGTGAATGACTGATGTGTTGTAAAGTGCCTTGGGGAGTTCTGGGACTCTAGAAGGCGCTACATCAAATACAGTCCATTTAGAAGTGGGGCTTTTACTGTGAATAGTAGTACTGTTGTGGACCCAAAAATGTTTTTCCATTTTTTTCCCTTGTTAATTCACAGCATAGCAATGTGTTTACAAAGAATTGTGGACAGTTTTGGTGTCACCTAGTTGCCAACTTCAGAGCCTTATGGGTGTTAACGGCATTAAAAGCATATAACGGACTGGGAAAGCACACTCATCATAACAACAGAAGATGGGTAAAAGAGGCGAATGAAATAAGGAGATGTGGACCCTGGACCATGAATAAAGATGAAGAATTTAACACACTGGATCATTCATAGAATGTGGTTATCGACCCAAAAGGCGTGGGCAGTAGAGAGTGACAATGTCTTCTACATCCTGCGTATAAACAGCGGTAATGACGCCATCAACACCAGTGAGGCTTTAAAGATGGCGACTGTATGACGCCAAAACTGTCAGCAATTCAAGGTAAATAATTTGCTACGCTGTGTATTAAACAAGAAAAGAGAAAACACAATGGAGTTTAAAAAGAAACAAAAAAAGGAAATAACAAGGAAATATTATTTTATTTCTAGTTACGAGGATATTAGAGCTTCTTTTATTGGCTTTTTAAGTGGCACACGGCCTTGCTCCGCAGTATCTTTGTGAACTTTTAGTTGCTCACTCCCCGTCTCGGTCACTGAGGTCAGCCGACCAGTTTCTCCTGGAGGTGCCGAGAACAAAGAAAAAGCTCAGGGGTGATAGAGCTTTCTCAGTAGCAGCTCCAAGGTGGTGGAATGCGCTCCCAATCCAGATTAGGATGGTTTCGTCACTGTCGGTTTTAAATCACTTTTAAAGACTCATCTGTTCTCAGTTGCTTTATTTCAGTTTGAGAATGCATCTGTTTTTAGTAGCTTTTCTGTCAGTTTGATATGTTTGTTTTTATCATGTTTTTACTTTGTGATGACCTTTTTATCTTATTTTTAGAACTTTTAGGGAACTTCTGTTCTTTTGGCTTGTTAAGCACTTTGGTCAGCTTTTATGCTGTTGTAAAGTGCTTTATAAATAAAGTTGACTTGACTTGACTAGAGCTGCTATTAGTTTAAATGGAATTATGGTGTTATGTTTGTTCTGTTAACTTTTTATTTTTTCTGTTTTAGATTCTTCAGTTTTTGTAAAGTTAATTTTTTTTCTTAACACAGTGAGGTCTTTGAGAGCCATTCTTGCTGACTGTCAGATTTTCAAAACATATGTGCAGCAGTGTGATATAAATAAATTCTTTAAAAAATCATAAAATGTGATTTCCTGATTTAAAAAAAAATGCTGACTCACAGTGGGAATGCCCTTACAATGTGAATTTAAGCCCCCGCATGATTTCTAAGTGGGAGAACATGCTTTTGCAAGGTGTTCAAATACTTATGATCCTCACTGTAAGCTAGCAGTACGCTAAATAAGTCTACATTTCTACCTACTAATTTTCCTTAAAGATTTGATTGCACAGTGTAGCTATGATTGAAAAAACATTCAAATTAATGTGTTTAAAAATAATTTAACTACTACTAATAATAAAAATACCATCCAAACCAGTCCAGTTCTACTATCACCTAAAGGCATCACCTAACTCAGTTTCTTTTCTGCTGGCCTAAGATAAATTCTTCAAAAGGAATTTGTGCTCATTGTTTTTGCAGACACAGAAATGCTAAATTTAATTGTGAATGATAAAGCAAATTAGATCAATAGCTAAAACAATGGCTCAGAATTGTCGTACTCAAAAACAGAGCAGTTCAGGTGGACATGAATTTGGTTATAATGGATGAGCGAGTACACTACTATCTGTATCTGTATCTATTCAACCATCTAAATTATCTGTATCCGTATCTGTACTCGGAGTGGGCGTGGCCTAACCTGGAAATGGGTGTAGTTTAACCAATACGTTATTTTAAGTCTGATCAGAAGTTGCTATGTGTATTGTTTATTTGAAAACTATTTACAGAGCAGCCTCAGAGTTGAGATGAAATGTTTTTGATCACAATAGTAAAGGAACTATTACAGAACAAGTTTTTCAATAAAATCAGAACATTAATATTTAAGTGCATGAATTGAGAGAGAGAGAGAGAGAGAGAGAGAGAGAGAGAGAGAGAGAGAGAGAGAGAGAGAGAGAGATGAAAAGAGCTTTTCTATAGCACCTCTCAAGATAAAAATCACGGGGCGCTTCACAAAAGCAAAACATGTAAAATGGGAAAAAATAATTTAGAAAATGATTGAAGTATATTTAAAATGAGCAAAAAATAAGACAATTGTGATTTAAAAATGTAAAGAAAGAGAGAGAGAGTGAATAGGAAAGGGGGAGTGGATCCTGAGAGAGGAGAGAGAGAGGTAAAAAAAAAAAACCCGACCGGAGCAGAGATAGTGACTGACGCAGCACGAGCCGTTTTCAGCTCTGTCTTGTCAAATGCACCACGTACGTTACGAACAATTTAACTTTAAATATCTTTAAAGTAACTTTAAAAAGAGGCGAACTGAAGAAAACCTAGGGAGTACTGAAGAAACGTGAGCAACAGTGAAGCAAGCACAGAGAGATCCGTTACTGTCTGTGTGTGTGCTTGGATGGACCGGATGTGGACTGAGCTCCAGGTGCAGAGTTTTGTATGTTGGGAAGGGCGGGCGCTCTATTTGACTGGCCAATCACAGAGCGTGAAGACAGTCAGTTACCCAATGAGGATTTTCCTTCAGCACAGATATTTACGGGTTGTACTTGTTTCATGCTCGTATTCGTCAAAAATGCTTTCCGGCTCATCCCTAGTTATAATTATTTATAGACTTGTGCAACACCGGTATGAAACTTGAGCTCACCTTTGTCTGTATTTGAACTACTGAGGCAGAGAGGTGCTGAGGGATTATGGGAGGAGTTTGACAGACTTCCAGGAGAGCAGGCAGGCAGGTGGCAGGCTGTGTGAGCATTGACAGCATATCTGTGGCACAGAGAAAACAAGATTACCTTTAAAGTATGAACAAGATATGGCTGAACTAATGGGCTTGGATTGATCGGCCAGGAGACTCTTGCAGAAGAGAAAATCTCAGGAGTCCTACTTAAATAAATGTTAAAATTAAGTGATCGTATATGCTAAAATGTGTAAAATTACCACATTTGTATCAATTAGACCCCTTTTCTTTTTGCTATTTCAATTACAGGGTTTGGAAGAGGCTCTCGGGTCTGCTTTAGTCATCTGACTGTCCATCCATGCATTTTCTATACCTTTCTCTTCTAGTTCAGGGTCACAGGTGAGGTTCATCCTGGACAAGTCACCAGTCTAATGCAGGGCTAGCACTGAAAAGCAAAAGGAGAAAACCATGCACACTCACATCTAGGTTCAATTTAAAATCTCCAACAACCTAACATGCATTTTTTTGGGCAGTGGGACAAATCTGAAGTATCCAAAGAAAATCAGAGCATCCATAGTGAGAACATGCAAGGTGCCAAATCCATTTAAGTTAGTGGGGAAAGACAACAATTGAAATGTTTCTCACTGTTTGCTTCAGCTTCTGGCTGCATGCATAACCAAGAGAGACAAATGAAACCTTTGTGGGTCTGCAGATCTTTGCTCTGCACCCTGATCTTACAGAATAACATGAAATAAGCATGACATCCTTGAGAATGCATTACAGTTCGAAGGGGAATTTATGTGTCAAACCTGCATAATAGAACCACAGACCCAGTATGGATGGAGAGTGATGATGGATTTCACCACTGTGATAGGTTTAGACAAAGTCACTTAACTTGAAAATGTCAAAAGGAAATTCCTTGGTCTAGAGTTTGAATCCATGGCCTGTGGTCTTTCAGTGTGACAGGGTCACCAAAGGTCAATTTAGCCCCCCCCCCCCCCCCCAAAAGTCTGAAAATTCAAGGAAAAGCAAGTTTAGAACTGTCTTGTTTCATTGCCTTGTCTTTATGGTCCACCACTTAGAACATTGGTGCTTTTATGTGCTTTTGTTTGTGACTTTATTGTAGAAGTTCTACTGTCTGGCATCATGCATCACACAGCGTAACAAGGACTACTATCACAATCTATCATATCATGGTCAAAAAGGGTGTGTTGCTCCCTTCACTCATCTTTCAAACCATCTGTCTTCACTGTCCAAAGTGCATTTAGGCTGATTTTCTATACAGACGTCAAATGTGCACCATTTCCACAGCCACAGACGAAAATGTCCCTTTTCTCGGTACTGGCACTTGATTATAACTGATAGGTGCCTCTATCACATCTTTTTTTGTGTGTCAAAACGTTGAGCTGATTTGGAATACCCCACACAGCTGAGCTGCATATGCAACATTGTTGTGCTTCTTTTTATCAGTGCTCAAATCAAATCTAGTTCAGAGTTTTCCTTAAGCACCTAATGCAGAGTAGCAAATGCAAAAAAAAAATATAAATAAATAAAAAAAATGTAGGCCTTTTTTTGCTTTTTACTTCAGCAGTCACATTCTTTTTTTTTTTTTTTTTTACATCTCTGCTATTTTAAGCCATTTCAAACATTCTTGGCAGTTAATTCTATCATGGTGTGAATGTTTTTTCTCAACAGAACCTGAAAAAAGTCCAGGAACAATATCCTGCTCCTTGAAACGTGAACTTCACAAATTACCATGAACATGTACTGTACAATTACAGAACAATCAAATGGGATTTTCCATGGCAGAATGCCATCTTGAGAGTTTTGGCATGCTTGTAACAATTCACAAGAGAGAAAGCATTAGTGTTGTGTTTCTCCTAAACCCCAGCTTAATAGAAAAACGCTTATTTTCTCAGGTTATTGCCTCTTGTGCAAGTTAATGTGTTTATCTGCCATCCCACCGCAGTTTCCTGTGTTTTATTAAACCCAAAATCAGAAGAAATAATTAAAACTGAAGGAAAATACAAAGATAGGAACTTTTCAAATTAGCCTAGAGACCATTAAGCCATATCTTGTTTGCATAAATTCATTTTTTTTTCTATAAGTATTTTTGGTAACATTAGTTTTTTCTTTTCATTACTTTTGTAGCTATACAAGTATTTTTCTCTTTGGGTGCAAAACATTATTCTAAGTAACTTCAGAGCTGCTTATTGTTAGATTTGTTTGCTGCAAGAGCCATAAATCTTGAGTGCTGGAAGTGTGCTTTATGTACTATATTATAGTCTTTTGAAGTGAGCCATTGCAAAATTTGAGATCAAAATGAAGTTGACTAAAATAATATTTAAATACAAGTTTAATTTGTGTTTGACATTGGTTGATATTAATTTATACTTATCAATAACATTCAGTAAAGTTGTGTCCTTGCGTGTCTGAAAGTACAAGAAAGTAACGGCCCATCTTGGCCTTAGCACAGAGGTTAAAAGTGGGTTTGACCATATATGAAACGCACCATTTAGCCCATGTTTGCCATTCCTTCTCCTATTCAGCAGGGAGATAATTGGATATAAAGCATCATTGAAAAGTCATAGCTCCTCTCCCCGGACCCCTGTATGGCCTCCCAGATCGAATGCACACAAAACAGCACCATTAAACCTCATCAGCCTCTCTTTAGATGTGGTCGACGGGGAGAGATGGTTCACTGGTCTGTCTTATAATTCATGTGGATGTAGTTCCCATTGACCTCATCCTTTGCTGGGTGACCTTTCTTTGTGCTTCCATCTCCCATGGTAAATCCATGCACAAAAATCGTCTTCTTTATTATTGTAATGCAATGTTATGAGTGAGGCGTGAGCACATTCAGGCACAAATTATTTTTCCAAAGAATTAAAAGCAAATAAAATGTTTTCTTGCACAATGTAAGAGATGGTAATATTCTCTTCTTTTTGAGTTTCTCTGTTGTGTTTTCAAAATGTTTAATGAGTCACTGAAAGGATTACAAGAGTTATCTCCAAGACAACATAGTCTGACTTTGTTATAAGTTTCATTAGGGCAATGATATATAGAAATTATGTTCATGATGTTCTATGCTTATTTCCCTTACAGTGATGTCACAATTAACCAAACATCCAATGAATTGACGTTTTTTGATTCATACTTGGAGTGTTTATAGAGGCAGTAGAGACCCACGTGGCAGCACAAAAGGATGCAATAGGTGAGTTTTGCATAATATGTCCCTTTTGTTTGTTATTATTTTTTGTCCTTTCTTTGTCCCAGTGACTCTGTCTGCCTCCCTCAGCTCTCCCAGTCCGTTTCACCTGTCTATAGTTATTAATCAGCAGTCAGCACACCTGTCCCTTGTCTCTTCCTTCACTCTCCCAGCTTTATTTAAAGCTCCATCAGTTCACATCTCCCTGCCAGTTCCTTGTAAATGCTTGTGTTTTTTTTGTACCTGCACATGTGCTCTGGAGCTGCTTCTGCTTATTGTTAAAGAATTTGAGTGAAGTTTACCAGGCTGCCTCCTAGATTTACCTGCATTTGGTTCCCACATCCACAGCGTCCTTTTGGAACCAATCCCCTCTATGATGACTGCCACAGCTAATCGACCTTAGCCAACACACACTTTGCTACATTATAAACAATTGTACAAATCTTGAGATCAAGTTTAAAGAGACAATGTGTAGTTTTTGACCAATAATTCCTGGAACTATCAATAGAAATTTTGAAAATGAATCAAATGATGCCCAGTTGTTGAAAAATATTGGCAGCTTTATAGCATAAAACTAAAAACTGGGTATAGAATACAGCACGGGTCTAAGAGTCTGGGCTACACTATATTAGATGCAATATTTCCTTTTATGGGAGCCCGTGAGGACAAAACGCATTTAATGATTTGTAAGAAGCTGTTACAAAACTTTAGCCATTCAAAAACGGTGTTTTACGCATGTACCTCTTCACTTGCTGCCAGTGATGAAAGGGAGTTTGATGTGCTTTTCATTTTGCAGAAAGTTCAATCATCTGACCAAGTACTTGTTTGAAAATTGCACTCCCAGGGATTTTCGACCCTGTTGGTCATCCACTGGTAAGGCACCGACTGAATTCTGTGGTACCTACTGAAGACTGATTCATGTGATATGAAACAGTGCCTTGTTTCATGTCATATAAGCTGTAAACAGAACAAGCAGCATGGCAGAGAGAAAGCCTTTCTGGTTTGGCTCCAGTTCACATACAATGGGTGACTGGGTGATAACGACAACGATGACAACGAACTAAGTGAGGCATCATCATCTTAATCTGCTCTAATAAGTCAACAAACTGTTTAAGTTATTGTTAGCTTGAAATTTTATCTTCCGTAAACATTAGCTAATGGTGCATTCATTTTCTCCTTGGAACTCAAGACATTTGGACTTCTAAGTAGGAAAGATCAACAGTTTGAAAAAGAACAGCAAAAGGAATGAAGATACACAGTAAATTTATTTCACAGCAAAGATGTTTGCTTCAGTTTCATTTGCAGTTTATAATGCTACGAGGACCCACCAATCACACAATTTGTCCAGTGGGAAAAGGAGAAGAATAGCAGTACATCGAGCTGGGTTTTAGTTTGTTATAAAATATTTATTTTTAAATGAGTCTTTTTTGATTTTCCATCTTATCTGAAAGTTTTGTTGAGTACCTTTGACTGCTTGTATCCCACACGTCTAACTGTTCATCATTTGTTGCTCCTCGGTTTAAAAAGGAGGTAGGGAGATTTGCTTTTAGCGTTGAAGCTCCTCAGCACTGGAATAAGTTACCTACTGAATTAAGGTCCTGCTCATCAGTCCGTCAATTTAGTCGCACAGTTTGTTTATGAGAAGCCGATCTGTGACTGCTTTGCTTCAGTTGTGTAATGATGAATCCGTGTATTTGTTTGCTGCATTGCTGTTTTTCATTGCCAATTATTGCCAATTAATTTGGATTTCAGTTGATTTCGCATTTATAAACGATGTTAGTGTAATGCCCTTTTCTGCTTTGAGTGACTCATAGCAGTTTTATTTTGCATATTTATTTTTTATTTATTTATCTTTTTTCTGAAGTGTAATTTATTTGTTATTGTTATCATTTAATTTTGAAGTCTATTGTGATGAATGAATCTGACATCTTTTTCTTTATTGGTTGTGTTGAAGGAGGACCTGCTCAAAAAGCAGATGTTACATCTCAAGCAGTTTATCCTCCTGAAAAACATAAATAGCACATTATTAAATTACAAACAGTTTTTTGGTGTCGAAGTTTGTTTTAGTTTCATTTGTAGTTTATAATACATGGGCTCCTCATCATAGTTATTCCAGAGGGCGTAGAAGAGGATTAGGACAACATGGAGCTGGGTATTTATATCATTTAGAAACAGTTTTTATTATTTTAATTTTTTTGTGTACAACAAAGACTTGAAACTTCTTCTGTATGAAGATT